CGGGGGCGGCTCCGTCCCGGCGGGAGCGGGGGTGAAACACACGCTCCAGCCAGGGTAGCTCAGCGGATTGAACTCGTACGATGCGTTATCGTTTGCAGCCCCAGTTTACTACCCTTAGCTGGGGGAAACGTTGTTCTTCCAGGCAGCAAGTATAATCCGCTGTCTCCTAGTTCGTGCTCCAGTTCCTACAATGCGTAACACAGGCAAAAGATGCCATAAGTAATCCGCTCTTTGATGCTCTCAAGGTTTTCTTCAGCTGTCAAAAGTTTCTGAGGAATAGCAGATATTTATTTTGTTAACTTCAAATAGATGGAAGATTCCCTCCTCCCTGTAACTGAAAACAATCTAAATTTAAAGGAGTTGCATTTGTGTAACACTGAGAATTTCTCAGTTGCAATTTTAGAGTAAGCCCAGAATTGAGAATCTGGAGAAGATGAGGAAGAATCTTTCTTTTAACCAAATACCACACTGAAATGTGCTACCAGTGCTTCCGAGTCTTAAAAGTAGTCTGCAGCTTGTATATGTTCAAGTGGAGTAGACTGCATTTATAAAGTTTGTCAAAAATTACATTGGAACTTGATTCATAAATAACAGCAAAGCAGGAAAACAAAATGCCGTTCAAATGGTACATGCCTTCTTATGTGAGGAATTCAGTCGGGGGGGGGGGACATTGTCCAGCCATTTTCTCTGAAAAATAAAACGTTTACTTCAGGAAAATAAAAAGCATATCTGAAGGTTACATAATGATTGTTTGAAGATTATCCCCTGCTAAGATTCAGGAGGTGCCTACACATGCTTCTGAAATCCATTAGCCCTGAGGGGTCTAATGCAGATCCCTGAGTTGTACAACTGAGGACTGCAAAATATGTACACTTTGGAGAAAAGGCAGCATGGGTGTTTTCTGTGAGCTGATACTTAAGGAAGGAATTATAGCACAGAGTGTTGGCAGTGTACTGGCGTGTCATGTATACAGCAAGTCTATCTTACATTTTGAAGCCATATTGAGAAGGGTAGTTTTAAGGCACTTCTACATAATGCTCAATGCATGCAGAAGGACGGTAGTTGCATTTAACAATTAAAAGGTACAGTAGAAGCAGTAAAAGTCATTTGGGAGCTAGGTAGGATCTTTCCACAAGTTAGATCTGGGCCATGAACTGGACAAACATACAGAAAAACTTAGTCTACAGCTTTTGTGTTTGTTTTTGCCCAAAGGAAAAACACACAGAAAGGATTCCCTAACGAAAGGCATCTTTTCTTTCAGGGACAGATTTTGGAAAAAAAAGTACAGCAACGCTCACCACAACATTTAAGGTGTCATGTCAATTCAGGTTTAACTAAATTTTGTCTAGATGCAGTAACCCAGTACTGGTAATGACAACCTCATCATTAAAAAAAGATGATAACCTCAAATAACAATTATCATTTTTCTCACAACTGTAACACTATAACTCCTATACTCTATAACTATAACACTCTATAACTCCTAACACTATAACATGCTGGTACATGTTCTACAGTTGGTCCAAGTTATGTCAGCGATAACACTATCGGAAAACTAGAAATCTCAAGTCAGTTTGATTACTTGAAAGAATTTACAGAGTTCAAATATATTTAAAGTATTTATTTTTTAAAAAATACCATTCAATACCTTATTAATCGGAAAAGCCTGGAAAGAGCTCAAAATTGCAGATGCAACCCTATTAACATTCAAAATGCATTTAGTAAAGAAATGGTAATGTTAACTTAAATGCTATGTAGCACTGATAAAGGGCATGCTGCAGGATTATAAGGGGAAAGCAAGTCATACATGTTTAACATCTCAACTAATAAAAATAAGTAGCGTTAGAAAAACATGTCAAGAGGGAAATAAAAGACTAACCAGAGGGTAATGCATATCCTTTTCTGAAAACGGCTGCATTAAAATGAAACAACAAAACTCAGCTTACACTGCTTGTATTACTTGCTACAATATCAGAATGATGCTCAATTATCTGAACCAGTACTCACCAGATTGTTTATTAGCTGCTCTATCATCCTGACTGCAATTCTTTACAATAAAGAAATGCGCAGTACACTGCATAGTTGTTCTATTTTTAGATAGTTCTAAAACAAGCAGCTTTGTAGCAGCAATCTCTTTTATTCAAAAAATATGCCTTTTAAAAGTCTAAAGAACAGTAGCAGAAAAAAGAGCACATAAAGTTAAATATATAGCCTTTTCCTGTTTAGCTTCTTTCTCCTACATAACCTTATCAGAAAGCAGAAATAACATGGCGTGTTTTGCACTGCATTTACCAGTCATAGCATATTCTCATCAGCCTTTTATCATTCTCTGAGAAGTACTGTACACATGCTGCTGTAAAGAGCCAACGTCTAACTCACTACAGCCTATTATTTGTTGGCCCATAGGCACTTAACAAATTTTAAGATTAATAGCCAGAAAAGACTCTTGAGAGGATGCACATGTGAAACATTGTAGGCTTTTACTAGTCTCCTGTGTTATGAGATGGCATCTTGAGAAATTAATGGGGAGAGGAGTGGAGGGGGCAAAGAACAGCACACAAAACTTAAGGCAGAAGATCTCTGAACGCCTATAGATACAATGAAAATCCATTTTCATAACTGACATTCTGTATGAAAGAAGCTCCTCTAATTAAATGTTAGCACAACCATGCAAAATACAAAATTCAAGGCGGCATTCTAAGAGGTTTTATGTAATCATGTATTACACTCATTACTCCTCTTTATTTGAGCCTTAAGTGTAATAACTTGGCTCCATCAGAACAGAACTTGAGCCAGTCTAAAACAGCCAGATGATCCTTGTTACTCATGGGGTGATGGAGTGGGTAGGAAGAGTAGTCCATTCACAGCTACGTGAAGGGAGCTGCAGCAAATTGGCATTTTGCTCCCGCTTAACTGCAACGTTCTCTGAAAAATATTCTAAAACTGTAATGTGCATCTCGATTATCGCTCACCAGGAATTCTTTTTGTTTTTAATTTCCCTGGACTAGCTGTAGATTATAGGTGTATAATCTGGAGCATCATTTTCAAATTCTGGTGTTCGCAATACATTTTTAAGTTCATTTCAAGAAGTGATGAGTTATTTTCATATTTTGTATTGTAATACATAATCGGGGATATTTATTTGTGAAAACTGGAAAATGCTTAAGAAAATATCTGATTTTTAGGGTCACATTATTAGACTGTCCTTCCAGCAAGCTACATTCTCTACTTCTAGGACAACCTCTGCTTTTTTTTTTTTTTTTTTTTAAAAATGACTCAAAATACTCAAGTCTTTTAAAGACCCCCAAGATCATTTTAAATACAATAGTATTTACTGCTAACTACATAGTTAGCAAATTATTTCCATCAGCTACATCAAAGGTACTCATTTCACTCAAAGAGAATTAACAAAACCTGTTATTCCAAAGGCAAATGGTGTAACATGATAGTGGCAAGCAAACAAAAATTTCTGTTATTCTACACCTACTATTCGTCAAAAGAATCACATTTCCAAGTTAGCTATGGACATTTTCAAAATTTCCTATCATGTGAGTCACCTTCTTAATTTACTACAGCAGAGGTTTCATCCTGTGTTTCATAAAGTTTAATACAATAGTACATTGTAATTTTTTATTATACTAATTCTGGCAACTTTCCTCCTTGCAATTACACTGTTTCTAAAAGGGATGCGAGGTCTGAAAGTAATTTAAAGTTGAAGATTACTTCAGTATGTTATCATGAAATATATATATATGAACTGACATATTACTGTGCATATTATTGCATCTTTATTGTTATTAGCTCTTCATATATTGTTACCTGCAAATATTCACATATAGCACTGCGTCTGACATGCATTTCCATACATTCATGAACTTCATAAACATAATACTCCACACTGACTTTTAGATGCCATTGTTGGAGACAAGCAGTCTTTCAGTTGCTTTAAAGTGCTCCTGAGAAGGAAAGTCTACCTTGACTACAGGATAATCCTGTGCCCCTCTCAAATTTCTTCAGCTAAGGACAGTATCTCTTCCTACGTAATCTCCACATTTTTTCCAGACAGTGCCTCATAGTACCTATACCACTGATCAACCTCAAACACTACAGTTAACCTAAACCTAATAACTGGAAAGGCTTCCCTGACACTGCAGAACCCCCAAAGAAAAGCATAACAGTACACAGTCTGAAGACTGGTTCTGCAGTGTCCTAGAATAAAGTATTAGGGAAAAAAAATTATTTTCTCTCCCTTTAAAATTACTGCAAATTCAAAGAAAGCACATTAAGTGAAAATTAACTTTGAATATGAAAAATGGTATTATACTTCACACGCTCTCAACAAGGCAGCAAAACACGAACTGGTCCTGACTGATGGTTGTTCCTTTTTAGTAACTACAAATCAGCACTCTTTTGTATTATAGAATCATACATACATTACAATGAAATATATTTGCAAGAAGCGTCTGAAGTGCCTGTTATACAGCACATGAAACCTGGACATCTTTCAGGTAAGTATGAAAAAGTCTTTAGTACTTTCCCAAACACTGACTGAAATTTATTTCGTAATTATAAAAACTGAAAGATTTCACACTTTCCCCATCAGAAATAATTTCAACAAAAGTTCAGATTTCTTATCATAAATAAAATGAGCAAATTAAGTAAATTACATCTTAAGGGTTTAACTAAATATAAATTGCTAATACTTCATAACACAAAGAGCAAGTGTTCAGTATTTCTTTATAAAATTTAAGATACCCAGGCCTTTCACGTATGGCTTCATTAACATCTTTACACAGTATGTTGTTGATCAAATCTGTTAACATGTCAAATAGCATCTCTACATAAAAGATGCAACCTAATATTTTTAATGAAGTGCAATGTACTCCATTAGAGAGAATGTGTTTTAATTAACAGTTCTAATACCAGTTACAGTGTACAGTGCTTTTCAGCAATCTACTGTGTTGTAATTATACAAGATAGGAGGTAAAAACTAAATCGTACAGCCCTCACTAGGGTACAGACCCCAGTATAGTTTTACCTCAGGAATGGCTAGAGGATTTAGCCTACAATACATAATTCAGTCTGTGTTTATTAACAAGTAGGCAGAATTCCAACAAGAACTCAGGCTTCTGATTACATAAAACTACAGTAACATTTAAGTATCAATTTGAAATTAAAAACGTATTATGAGGGAGTTAGATACCCATTGAAATAAAGTGGTCTACAAACAAAATAAATTTTCGTATCATTGTTTTCACACACTTGGTAGGTATCATCTCTCTTTTGGGAAAGTTTAACATCACAAAAAGATAAATATTTATTATCGGACAGTTTCAAATTTTAGGTTAGGAGGACAGGATCTTGGTATTCAGAACACTGACAGTCCAACTCCTCCCTTTTAGTAGAGCATCATTAAAAAGAACAGAAAACAAAAAGCACAAAAATCCTACGGCCAAATTATTGTTCAGCCTAAAACACATGCCAATTATGACAATAATCCCAGCATCAAATCACATCAGACAGTGAAGAAGCTCAGCTACAGAATCATACACTCAGGTTTCCAAATAGCTGGGAAATTACAAAAGACAGGAGCTAAAGAGACATGCTGTACTATGGGAGGAAACACAACAGGCTTCAAATGCATCCTTGAAACTTCCTCTAGCATCTGGGCTCTTTAACACCCCCAATTACGACATGCTTATCTTCCCCCGCCAAAATAAAACTTGAAAGGAAGATTTCTTCCTAGAATACAGAAGTTCAGAATGAGTCAAGACATTTACTTATATTTATATTGGTAACAAAGCTCTTTACAGATAAAGCAGGCAGCAACACAACAGTATGAAAAAAAATCTTGTTACGCTAGAGTTAGTACACAAAGCATTCACTTCTAGAAGAACATCTGAAGGCATCAAGGAGACAACAGCTGAAGCTGACTTGAATAAAAATGCATTAAGTACTAGAAACTGGCCACAAGCTCTGAAAAGAATGCATCAAACAGAAGAAAGTGTTGTTGAGCTAACAGAGATTAAAGCTAGAACTGATCTCATTTTAATATCTTAGAAATAGTTTTTTAAATTAATTCCAGCAGAAGAAAGAACATATTGGTGAAATGAACAGATACTGAATTAGAAGCTGAGCAGAGATCTGAACAGAGATACCAAGCGATTTCCAAACGGGACAAGAAAATAGGAAAGAAAAGTCAGAAGCACGTGCCGAACTTTGGAAATACGCCAATGTTCAAGGAATAATGTAGACAAAAGGGGAACGGAGATCAAGCTAAAAGCTAGGGGAAAAAACATAGAGCTGGCTTACCAAGTTTGCAATGCAGCAAGACTGCAAAATTGGCTAATGAAAATTGGGAATGACTCCAGCTAGGAAATACTGTTTTCTCAATGTAACTTTGGCACAACTACAGTGAGAATATTGTGGTTTCTTTTGTGAAGTAAATTAACTGAAAGACAAATTGACAAATACATAGAGCAGAATGACTGAGGGTATGAACTAACTGAAGCTAATAAGACAGGCCCCCTCCTCATGCAGAGGGGCACAATCTCTGAAAGTGTTTCAGCACAATCTGGAGAAAAACTCTTTTTCAACTTTGTGTATTAAGAGGTATTAAATAATCCAAAGAAACTGGATTAGCAAAGAAAAACAGCTTCCTAAAGATGAAGTGTAAAACATCTGAAGAAGAGCAAGGAAAACTGAGTACTCAGACCAGGTCAACAACTCCAATTTCTGGCAGCAGCTATGGTAAAGAGGGTGAACGCATTATGCAATTAATGCATAATTCCCAATTTATGCATTTTAGTGGCATATGCCTCTAGTGTGAGCTAATACACACTGAAAGAGAATCACTTGATTAAGCTGGGAGAGATGTAAGAACTTTATATGCAGGTACGAAGCACAGTGCCATCAACATGGATGTAACCCAAATAGGACTCTCTGCTTGCAAACATTTTAGTATAGAACATTTTGTTATACAGCATGTTATGTAGTAAACACTGTACCGTATTTTTTTATAAAACACTCCTAGTGCAGTGACTGCCTCTAAACTCTACTGAAACAGTTGTTTCCAGAAGGCAAATTAAGGCTCTTAACTGCAAAAGGCTGCTGGGCACGCTTCATCAAATTCTGCAATCCAGTGCATTACAGAATTTTAGGGTTCTGAAACAAAAGACATTCTGTATGCTGTAGTTTGTTTTTCCCATAATAGTTTTTCATAGTCCTTTGCTACACTAATCTAGGGAAATGTAAAGTGATATATTTGAAAATAAAATTTCAGGTTCTTTTTCAGAGAAAAAAAAAATCAAATTTCATGTTGGGCATGCAATAAAGGAAATCATCAGAAGGTATCAATTTAAAGATTAAGTTATCTCACTTCCACTTATAATTTCCATTATATTACTGAAGAATTACGGTTAGTCAATGCCTGTGTTGCAGATGAGACTTCAACAATGCACAACTGCACAGCTGCATTGTTTTCAGATGGCTACTCCAAAGTAAACAAAAAAAAATCAAAACTATATTCTGGAATTGCTCAGGTAAAATACATCATCAACATTTCACACAAGTAGAAATTACAGTGACTAAAGCGCAAGATGAATATCCAATATGACAACAGGAATTTTTAAATGAAACTCAAAATTAATCCTATGCACTTCTTCAGAATTCTGTTCTGAGTCAGTATCGGACATCAATTTATAGTAATATAAACACGAATGGCAAAAAGATACCGATATATGATGGTCTAACAAGGAAGGAGTCCCTTTAGAATTTCCACAATATCTTCCTGTATGAAAGCAGTTAAAAATTAGGGTGGTTTAAATACAGGAAGTACCTTTGCTGACTCATAGTCATTCTGGGAGGAAAACTACCCTCCTTACCTGCAGTAACAATTAACATTTAACATTGCTTTGTCTTCAGTAACATTTATTCTACCATCACAGGCCCACTGAGTTGCATGCTGCGTATTTTATGCATCTATTACGTAAACAAAATGTTTTAATGTATTTTCAGTGATGATTAAGATCATATCTCAAGCACACTAAACAGTCACATTTATGTTGCTCATTCAAACTGAGCCTTTAATTACTTGTACAAATACTTTAAAATTCTGCAATCAAAAAATCAGACATATCTTAAAATAGTATGAGCAGGTTACATTCTGGCATTGTTACCTAGCTGCCTCATTCTTATAGTCCCATCAGTGGATGATTATTACTAAAAAGATTACCATTTCTTGTACATGTATATTATTTAATCCTTGTCATAAGTATAAATTTGCAACACAGTAGTAACACTGCAGGTGCAGAAGTAACGCTTCCTATCAGGCATGTGAAAAGATTAACACTCTACCACAGTTGATGCTGGTGTATTTATACAGAAGGCCTCTCACATATTGTTTCAGTCTACAGAAGGTAGATGTTTGTCTATGAACTGTTTTACATCCATCATCTCCTGTTCAAAAATAAAAGTATATGTTAGTTGAAGCTCCCTACTAACATACATTCAATTACACTAAACAATGGTTCAACATTTCAGTTATGACAAGCAGTTGGGCTATAAAAATTGTATAATTAGTTACTTGATCGGCTTTTATCACTTTGCAGGCAGCAAGTCAAGGCAGGTAACTCTTGAAGGCACTATGCGTATCTTTACTTAAAGGAGGCTAAAACACAAGGAAAAAGAGCGCAGACGACTCACTCTTTCTTTTTTTTTGGATTGAGAAAAGGAATTAGGTTAAAAATAATTTAATTTTTAAAATTGTTATAGCTAGACCAGCTCCTTCATCAGAATATTTGACAGGAGCACATCTTTTTATGATGGTGGCAAGTTACACAGGCTTAGAAAATACTTGAAGTTATAACCCAAAAAAGTGCAAATTAGGAAAAAATTCTGTATCACCTAGTATTAAGACAATGTTGCCAGAAATACAGCACATTTGCTATTAATACAGCTGCGTGACAACTCAATGCTATTACTATCTAAATGCAGTAAAATTGCATAAATGGCCCAAAAGCAGCAAAAGCTTACGCTAGCAGCTTTTGTCATTTTAGCAAGTTCAAGTAGTTCAAAGAAGTTTCTGATTAACTCCAGAGCTAGTGCAAGAAGAAAAAGCGGGCCACAAGATCATGTGCAGGAGAGAGAGCAAGCCTATCCTCTTCTGGCAGCAGCAAGCCATTAGATCAGCTCAGCTGCTTGCAGAATCAGACCAATAAACTCAGTATGAAGATGTCTTTTCCTTTAAGTCATCCCTTCCCCCCATTCCTTCAACATTTCCATTCACATTCATCTGTGAAACTAGAAAGATTCTTCTCCCCAAAATACCAGGTTGTATTTATGCTGTGAGAATTCAAACTGCCTTCCAATTCAGTGATAATTTTGGTATGAAAAAAGTCTTCTGACCAAAAGAAGAAATAAAAGGAGTATTTTAAAGAACTTGTTACAACTAGCTAGATAGTTCCCATTAATCATATAACTCTTGCCTTGGAAGATTTTTCAGCCAAGCATGCAGTTATTCAGTAACAATAAGTACTTGATTGTAATGACTTGTTTCAAAAACGTAATCCAAAGTTCTACATATTTGTTTTGAGGAGGAAAAAAAAATTAACCACACTGATCTAAAACATTGTGAAATTAGAAAATTACCTCAATACATGAGCTATGCATCATGCCTGAGTAAGTTCTGAAGGTTACATTGGCTGGATTTATCATACTCTTTAGCTTCTCAACAGTAAGAGAACCAAACATTAAAGGAACCAATGGGTCACAGTCCCCATGGCACTGAAGAACAGGAATCTCCTTGTTGACACTGCTGATAGTGCCCTGTCAAAGGTGGGAAGTAGAGAGGGGAAGAGAAGACAGTCAGTGAGGGGGGAAAAGCACAGAGGTACGTAAGGCTAACATACTGCAGATAAAGTAACACTATGACAGATGCTCATTCTGGTGTGACGAAGTAAACGGAATTATAAAGAAAAAAAACACACACACACACACACACACACAAATAGCTTGCAAGTTCCTTAAGCGGTAAATTCTGCACATATTACATAAAAAAACTCTTCAAATTACAAAAATTTGGTACTAATTTCAGAACAGTTCTCAAAAAGCACGGTTCCTGGACAAGTAAAGCACCTAACATTTCGTCTAACTACCTACACGTTCTACACGACTTACTCTCTAATAAGACAGTGTCTTGCAGCTAGAACAAGCAGCAAAGTGAAAAATTGATCTTCATGGAACATTTGCTTGATCCTGTAAATTTCCTAGGAATGTCATTTTAAGCAGAAGTAGCTACTGCTTATTTCCTCTTTTTCCCTGCTTGCCCAATTCGAAACCCTCAAGGTCCTATTTTTAAAACTTCTGAATTACCCAACCACAGTCAGTACTTGGTAATGTTCACTAATTCCTGCACAAGAGAAGATCTTCAAGAACACTCATTCCCCAAGTGTAAATTAGCCTAGGAAAAAGCCTAAATACCTGAGGAAAAGAAGCCCGTAGAGGAAGCCAACAGCTGAGTGCTACAACACCTGCTAATTTTTGTTGTGTTGTAAGCGCTGTATACAATGATAGAGCACCTCCCTAAGAAAGAAAGATAGAGTTATGAGAATGTTGAAAATGATGTTCCTTTTTAATGCTTGTTTCAAGATCTCTGGTTTCTCCTTTAAAGAATGTCTTGCATTTTAACTAATTCTTCCTCAAAACTAACACTATAAATGGTATTGCAATATAATATTTATTTTGCTTTTTTCATCAAGTCAGTATGATCAATTTGCAAGTAAAACAAAGTTTACCGTAACTAACAGCTGAAAATTAAATATGAAATAAAATAGTATCACTCCTGTTAATATCACCTCTGCTTTCTTATTTTAACACCCCTAAACAAACTAGGCAATTACTGTATGGACTAATTACTCTATTAATCTACCTACAATAGATATTTGAGAAATATTTCCTTCCTTCAAACTTATAAAATAAATCCAGGCCATCAAATATCTTACAAATTAAAGGTAAAATAAAATATTAACAAGATTTTCAAGCAAAGCTACGGAAGTTACAGTGCTTAAAGACTTTAAAAATATTATTAATTTAATAGCTATTTTTCCAGATGCAGGTTTTCAGTGAACAGCAATTATTTTCCTAATCTAAAAGACTTAATTTGTTAAAGCAAAGGGAAACTGACACCTTAACATTTCAGAAGCACCTAACATCATCTCCTTTCAGTTGAAGGATCAGAATTTCCCACATACAGAAAGCTGAAAGTTATTTCCCTAGAAACAGATGCAATTCTTTCCAACTATGCCTTACCTGGGAAAAGCCTCCCAGAATAATCCTATTAGAAGGAATTCCATTTTTTACTTCTTGATCTATCAGCGCTTTAACTGCAACAGAAATGAAGGCCAGTAATTAAAATCCACTCTGTTCTGAAGAACATTTGAGAGGAAAGGAGAGAGACTGAGCAACCGCGTTCCTTGGCCATCTCCCTGCTGTTAAGGGAAAGTAGAATCTGGTCTGTTATACTTAGAGCATGCATCTGGGACATGATCAAAAATATCAAAAATTCCAGTGCCATAAGCACCAACTGTACCACTTCCAAATAGGAAAATGTGCAAATTAGTCTCACAAAACTCCCAGTGCCAGGAAAATAGGATCTTCTTTCTAACTATCCAGCATCACAAGTGGATGTTTGTACAGCTTGAACTAGCTGTGCTATACAGAGGCTCTTAAAAAAGAGCTCAGCGGCTCCCACCTCTGTATTATATTTGAGAGTACGAAGTGTTCACACTGATGAACTATTTCTTTTTCTTCCAAGCTTTGTAAGAACTTTGCACTTAGCTAAACTTAGACCAGTGATAATATGATACATAAAAATTACTTTCCCT